GTGCAGCTAAGACAAAATCAATTCATTACATCATATATTCCAAAAAATATATGAAAATATATATTTACATGGAAATTTGCTTTCTTGGATTTTAAGATAAAGATGAAAATTCTTATGTTGTCCATCAATCACAGCTTACTGGAACAACTCTTGATGAGCTATGGCTTATATGGTTCAATCCTGGATATTAGATGTGCTCTAGTAGAGTTTGACTCATAGACTTGATCATGAAAAACTCTGCCAGCATGTTTTTTTAGGTAAGGGGGACAGGAACCTTTAGCTTCAAAGCAACAAGCATCGATACCTATGGCTAAATTTCCAAAAAGCAGTCTGTGACACAATTAGAGGACAAAATTATTGGGAGCTCTGTTGTAGGGAACCCTACAGTTTCTGACAGATACAAAATGGCTACTGTAAAAGACCTTTTTATTTATTTTAGATTCAGAGCTTTTTAGAAAATTTGTCGTTCAGATTGCAGTCCATCTTTTTCAGCATGGAATTCCAACTTGGACTTGAAAAGCTTAAAAATATTCTCTTTCACCAATTGCTTATGATTCTATGTTAAATATCACGATGAAACAAAGTGTTGAATACGTTTGTTTGTTCTGGTATTTTCAGTATATGCTGTTAAACAGTGGCTGTTCAGCTAACAGTGCAACACGTGACAGAATGCAGGGAAACGGAGAATGAGAAAGAGGTCTGGACAGAAAAGATCAAATGATTGATTTTATTTTTGAATAGCAGCACACATACGAGATTTCTTTAAGAGAGCAAAGAGGAGGAAAAAAAATTATGGCAAAGAGGAGGAGGAGGAGAGGAAGACAGAAGGCCCTGGAAGAAAGTAGAATCAAGTTTCTGAAAACTGCAGCCTTTACAAAGAATTCCCTTTGGATACAAATAATGTGCAGATTTATAAAAGAGAGAAGTGGGTTTAGAATTAGGAACTCGGAATACCAGTGAGCATCCAACAATGAATCTTAGCAAAGAAAAATACCTGTTGCTGTAGGAACTCCAGTTGTGCCTTGAAAGTACAATGGAGAAAGGACAGAAGTGAAAAGACAGATCTATTCTTCTTTCTATTCAGGAAGGGACTGGCCTTCCCTCCTGACAACTGTCATCTCAGTTTGTGCAGTGTAGCCCTTCATGAGACCTGGAAAGATGCTTGATGGTAAACTGTCTTCAAGGAAGAACAGTTCATTACAAAAAGCTTTAGAATTTGGGCCTCCTTAACAGCCTTTCAGATAAAAGGGACAGACCAGTCTTTCTTACATGATTTAAGTAAGAGTGTGATCACTGAATAGATCTGCAGGATGGCAACAAGGACAGAGATTTATATAAGAGCTTTAAGAACAGAGGTTTATAATTAATTAGTCAGTGGTGAATCGGTGGAGCATTGGGAAGGAGAAGTAAAGGAGAGACCCACAGTGCTGCTTGCAGGTTAGTCTGAAGTGAAAGCTCTTGGGGTGTGGGCCAGACTGACAGAGTTCTGCTAAAAGGAAAGAAAAAGCATTAACCTGTGTTCATGCCTGGATTTAATTCCACAAGACACTGCAGGACCTAAAGCAAACCAGTTGGGACCTAAGGTACATCAAGTAACATTTAACCAGTTGTATGTTCTTTTTATGACTTCTGTTTGTGAGGGGGATAAATGCGTGTCTTCGGCAATAAAACATTTCCCCTGATTATAGCAAATGGTGTTTCTTTTCCCTCGTGGGATGTAATAGGAATATCAATGTTTTATATGTCATATTAAAAAAGCCCAAGTTTGATAAAAAATGAAACACATTTAGTAGAGTTGTTATCCCAGGTAGGGTAAAGTACCATTATACAAAGTCATAGGAGCAGAACTGTGAGTAGAGCAGATTCACTTAACTGTGAATCCAACCAAACTTCTGCATGCTGCACCCAAAATCCAGACAATCTTGGAAAGAAAGGCTAGTGACCAGGCTTTCGTAAAGACCACTAAATCTCTAAGCAAAGCCAGGTGATACCTTTTATCAAAAGTAACAACTGTCTTGATAAAAGCAGCAAATGGAATTTTAAATTGGGACACAGAGTTATAGAAGGGGAGGGGTAGAGAGGAAAGCATCTGAGAGAATGAGAAAACAGAAAAGAACCAGCTCAGAAAAATAAGCCTGGGAAGTGTGTCCAATTTTTCTAACATTTCTAATCACTAAGTTCTCCACAGTTGTGAGGGTATCTGTGAAAGTAGAATTTGTCCCCAATAGAGTTTGAATAGTGTGCTGAGCAGATGTTTTATTTCAGGAATGTAAATATGTAAAATGGATATGCCAAAATATTTTCTTTGATGTGGGATAATAATACCAAAAGAAAGGGCAATGCAAGCTTGCCTTTCCCTTCTGTATAGTGAGCTGCAGTTTTTAATTTAGTTCTGTGGCTTCTGGGGAAAACCGTTTCCAAGCCTGCCATTTCCAGGAACTCGGGTCTTTTCCCTCATGACAAAACCAAACTGTCCCAATGTACTCTTCCAGTCTGTACAGTGGAGATGACTGTGCTAATGCAGCCAAAACCCACTGGCTTGGGAGTTTGCCTTAGGGGAGGAACCCTCGCCCTTAGAGGAGGCCTCCTAAACCACTCCCTGAGGTGGTTTGGAGCAGGGTCCTCACCTCTGGGAGACCCATCTGCAAGGCAAACGCTGTCATCACCAGCCTGCTGTGCTGGCTGTTCTGGACAAGGCCATCCACTGCCAAATTCTTGTTTTAGATGGCAACAACAGAGAAGTGAGTGCATGAGATGGGTGACTGCGACCCGCTGGGGAGTGCAGTGCGTGTGTGGGAACCTGAGGTACCCTGGGCACTTCTGCAGTGAGTCTTTAATTGTGTCTGTGCAGTAGGATAATGCCAACAGGAGGAACTGAGAGGGCATCAAGACTATTCCTTTTGTTTCAGGCAAAGGACTTGAAGTTAAATATTTCATCTTAGGTTTTAACAAATAGATATTTTCAGAAAAAGGCAATGAGGAATTGCCAGTGGGTCTCCTTAAAGACAGCTCTCCAGAGTTTTCTTGTTAACATCCTACAAATATTATCTCTCCTTGTAGTAAATAGGAAATTTCCTACATGTTTCTAGTGCATGGGCTATGTTTGACAAGTTCTGCATATTCCTTAACTTCCCAATTCTGCTACCAGACTGGCTCTCACTACTTAGGACACAGGTTTCCTAACACCTCATTGTAACAGCTGTAAACAGAGGTTTTGTGTATGGTGAGGCAGTGTTTTCACAACTCCATAACTCTGAATGGAGGTGTTTACTATGGTTTGAACTGGGATTTCACTGCAAAATTATGCAGAATAGTTTTCACAGTTAATTCTTGTGAAAAGAGATTTGTTGTAGTGAGTTGTTTTTGTTTGGTTGGGTTTGTTTTTTTTTGGTAGAATGGCATTTATAACAGGTATGCAAGATTTTTTTAAAAATAGGATATTGGTTCAGTATTGAAAGAGAGCATGACATATTTTGGTTAGGGGTTGTCTGGAATGAAGCACATGTAAAGAGCTGAGAGCTGGGCTGATGGTAACCAGCTCAGGTTTGGCACTTCATGATGAGAGTGTCCTTCAGACCTGCTTTGAATGGAGTCCAGAAGGCTGTAAGAGATCCAAGCCTGTCAATGTTTTCTCTGAATTGCTTTTTGAGGTCTAAAGTACAATGATATTAAAAAAAAAAAAAATTGGATGTAATCAGTATTTTATGGAATATGCATGAAGTTCAGGGAACAGATTTTAGGCATTGTACATTGGCATGATTTATTTCATGTTTTATGTACGCATTGAGTTCAGTATATTGTGGTTTTACATTTGTGCAAGTTTACATTAGCTGTAAATGTGACCTCAAATGTTTATGTGTAATGTAATGAAGCTTCTCAAGTTGACAATTACCAGGATGTTTCTTGTGCTGCACTACAATTGAGAATCACAGATCCTACAAGATAAATTTCTGTAGAATTCTGTTTATCTAGATGTTGCAAAACAGCTAGCTTAGCTTATCTCTTGTCACATTTTCTGCTATACCAGTTGGAGATTTTTCATTGGCAAGAGCTTTTTTCTTTTCTAAAAAGTCTGCCTTCCATTTTTGTGAAAATGAATAATTGTTTCCTGAAGATTAATCCCAGACATGTTTATATTCAGTAAAGTCACTTCTGACCTCTAGTTTCATGGGATTTTGCCAGTAAAAAATGGAAAACCATACAGAACTTGAAAATCCTATAGAAGAAACCACAAGAATAAATTTTAATATCAAAAGATGACAGTTATGCAGAATTCAGGAGCCTCTAGTTTTTTTAGTGACATTTTAGATGCTTTAAGCTTTGCTCAGCTTCATCCCTCCCCTCCAAATGCTAAATATTATATTTTTAAAAATATTGTTTTTACATACATCATACCTTCTTTTGAAATCCTAGTCCATGAAAAAGAGACCGTGATAATCTGCATTCTAAGAGAACACACTCTAAATTGTAGAGTAAATGCATTATACTAACTATAGTTTGTACTGCTGCTAAATTAAAGACTTCTTTATATTTTAAAAGATAACCCCCTGTGTTAGCATTTTTGGTCATCTAAATATCCATGAAAGTCTGGGCGAAAAAAACCAGCCCTTTAAACCATATTAATTTCTTACACTGTCTTTGAAAACGCTTCACAAAATATTTAGAGAATTAAAAGGGATGTAATAGTTTTATAGGGTTAGCAGTCCTCTAGAATTTGTCAGGACTGCTTAAACTCCGAAACTCTGCCTTCCCAGTGTGCATGGATATATAAATGTCAAAATAATGCAGGAGACTGCCTGTGACATCGCAGCAATGCCACAGCTACGGCAATAAAGTCACATCAAAGACCGGGAGCTTTGCGGTGCCGCTGCAGTCACATCAGAATCACAACAGATAACAGTCCATCTGTAGTCACAGCACACCACAGACACTTCACATTCATAATGGATGGCAGTCACCTATTAGGATGATCATAGACATGCCAGAGTATCATTACTCACCCTCTAGTAAAATTTTAGTTGCATCACATAGTGTTCATGTCATCCTGTGGATCAGAAGATTTTACTCAAATTTCCTTGGTTTTGTTCCTCTGTAAATAGAGTCAAAATGCCAGGTAGGAATATCCTCCTATATAAATCTGTTGTATTACGTGTCAGTTCTGGTTTAGTTTACAGAAGAGACATTTCTATTTCAAGAAGTTTACAGAATCCTACAGTGATTTCCACCTCCCCCAACCCCCCCCCCATATCCAGATTTTTTTTTTTTTGAGGAAAAAAACCCACCCTCACTGCAAAATATGTTATCAGAAATTGCATACATTATAATCATTGGTATTGAATTCCCAAGGTATAACACTGATATTTAAAAATTTTATTTGGGAATTAGAACTAAAAGGGTTATATCTAAAGATTTTTGCATATTTATCAAAAATTAAATTTTTAATTTTAAATTATTGGGTTTTTTCCTTAAAGATCTTTTAAGACATTTATCATTCTAAAGTGTCCTCCAGAATGTTTTGTGTTTTAATGGTGGTAGAAGTTTCACTAGCTACAAGTTCTGGAATATCAGTATGACTAATATTTGAACCATGCACATTCAGTATAATTTAGGATTGCATCATGCATTTCTGTTTAAGTCCATGCAAAGATGAAATAGCTTCACACAAGTTGTGTACAATGTACTCTGCCTCACAGTGTCATCTGTTACATCTTGCCTATGGATCAAGCAGTAACTATGTTTTTTCAGTCTGTTTAAGGTTTTCTTTGCGGTGATTTTATTTGAATCTGTGGCTGAAATTTCAAGAATTCACGTGTTGTTCAGAAATCAGGATAAAACTTGATTTTCCTGTTTTTCTATGTAACTAGTGCACAAAAGGTTATACAAGTGGAGCAGGACATGCAGACTCAGAGCTAGAAACAGCACTGGAATAAGGTACTAAGTTGATAAGAAGAGATGGAAAGCATGCATTTTCTGATTTTTTTTTTTTTTTAATTTGTGTTGAAAGTTTGACACTTGTAAGCTGAAGCTGCAATTGTAAAATATCACGTATGACCCAATATGACCCATCAGTGTTCCAGCAGGTACTGCACCAATGCTGCCTAATTTAAGGTGCTCTACCTTATCCTTTCTGGGAACAGGCAGCATTTGTTTGCCAATGGCTTTTTTTTTTTTTTTTAATTGACTGCATAAAATTAAACTCGATTTCCCTGGCAAAGTCACATACAGTTCAGAGAAACAATAATAGTTTTGTATAAGGTTTTGAAATGTTCCTAAAAATGCAAACCAGAACTGCATGTCTGTTAGAGCTCCATAAGACAGGGTAAAAGATTGCTAGAGAAAGGTCATCCTTCTTTACTAAATTACATAGATCTTGGAAATCATTTTGGAGAAGCTGATTGTATTGTGTGGCCAATTTGTGGTGTCGCTCTTTAAATCCTGTAGGATTTTCCATGAAGTTTGTTGTTCAGTGCAAAGAGTCCAGTTGTTGTTCACCATGAGTGTGAGGGTTGCTCTCGCCCCACGCTCCGTTTCCCCATTAATGACTGGGTTTGCACGTCCCTTGCATCTGTCCCAAGGGAGGAGCTCGTGGGAACGAGGGGGCAGGTCATTCTCAGCGACAGGCTCCTGGCTCGGGATCTCGCTGCTGCCAGAAATCTGTCTGAGCCTGAATCTGGCAAAGTTTAGGAAGCAGCGTTAAATGCACCTCTTTGTTCAAAGCTTCCACTAACGGCAGGCACAGGAATTTCGCTTGGCAATCGGTATCCTGGCTACCCTTTTCAGGGTCCTTCTATAGCTGTTTCAATAGCTAGGAGGGGCATGGAGCAGTTTCTGTGGTGATTTAGATCAGAGGTACATTATGTAAAATGTGTACAGGTACTGCGATAATTTTCCTTGATGATTTAAATATGTGTGTGTGTATATATGATGTTGGTTGATTGGTTTCTAATTTAATTTAAAAATAGAGCCTTTAGTTTATATAACTTTCAAAAAGTGTAAGACTTGAAAAATGTGCAGTGAAATAAGATTTGTATCTAGGAACAGTTTGCAGACTTTTTATCATGGTGTTTTGTCCTTTAATACTTTGGATAAGACTGATAACTGTAAAGTAAGGAGAGGGTAAAGATTTTTGAAAACAAAATTTATTGTTTAGCCTTAGGAACAAATGTGAGAATCGGGCATTTCATATCAATTTTCCCTTATAGAATATGCTCTGGATTTAGATGCTGACTTCTGTAGTCAAAATAAGTTAAAGTTTTTGCATAGGACAGATTTTCCTATGGTTAAAAGCACAGCAGCATTTCCACACTGAATAAAAGCTCTAAGGGTGCCAGTGCCTGCCTTGGGCATTAGTTAATTCCATTGCCAGAAGGACTGCTGCTTTAGCCCTTTTCAGGAGCCAGCTGATGTCTATCTCAGCAGGCAAGAGAACATTGCCCCTAGGAAATTTACTGCAGTGCAGGAGTACATTGGGATCTAGACATTAGAACAGGCCCTTATGGAGGAGTGCTGCTTCCAAATTCTGGTTGGCTTATATATTTATTTGCTTGTATTTCATCAGTGCTGCGTGATGACACTGTGCACTTAGACAGTGGTGCACCTAAAAAGCTGCTGAAGTTAATGTGAGTTCCTTTTACATACTTTAGTTACTTGCTTGTGCTGTGGTCACTTGGGTGCATTAGAAGGTGTTTATGCCTGACCAGCATTTGTTCTGTTGCTCTGCACGTTGTTTGTCAGCATAAGGCCCTCTGACCCAATGAGTGTTGAGAATAACACCTTAGTTCACATCTTTGCCTAGATATGAGTCTCACCATTCCCCATCCCCCAGCACATCTATCTGGCAATAACTGGATAAATCCTTACAGCTCTTGTGCAGAACAAAATCCTGGAGAGAGTGTGGAGAAGGAGATGGAGGGGATGAGAAAAATAGAAGGACTTTAACATTGGTAGTGTTGGAAGAGAGACAACGCCACAGGTAGTGCTGTAAGACAGAGATCAGACAAACAGAGAAAGTGTTTAAAATTTCTACGATGCTGAAGATGAGCTGCTTGAACTTTGCTGTACAGGTAATGGAAAACCAAATAGGAATGAATCTGTCTGGTTGGCTAGGAGCTGACATGTCTGAAGTGACAAGTGAGCAGCTGAGTGTTGTGATCACTGAGAATGGATAGAACCATTTTTTTTTTTTTTTTCAAAAGTTACAGGGAAATGGTTTGGAAAACTCCTTTTCCAACCTTAATCACAAAAGAAATCAGAGAATAGGTCCTTGTACTGTACTATTTCCAACCTAACATAAACTGTAGAACATTTTTATATGTGTCAAGTTCTCATGAGGATTGTGGCACAATTGTTCAGAATCAAGTATCTTTCAAAGTCTTTAGTCTTGAAACATTCACCCATCAAGACACAACTGCTGAAATCACAAATGCTCACTGTCCTTACATCCTTTTTTTAAAGAACATTTTCTCCCATATCTTATTGCTTTTTCAACAGATTTTTGTGAATGCTATCTTGTCGTTGCATCACAAGAGAACTGCTTCCCCTGACTCCCCAAAAACGTTCCTTCTCAAAGTTGATTTCATGCCTTCTGAGTCCAGGTACTCAAAGGATCACAGTGTGAGAAACTACTTGTTTTAATCTGTGCTTGTCAGAGAGATTGTGCCCAGTCCTGCTGAGTCAAAAACTTGGTCACATTTGCCCACGGGCTTTGCTGCTGTGGGTTTCTCTGAGGAAGGAAGCCTCCTGACCAGGATACCAGGTTTATTTAAAGGGTCTCAGGTGTTTAGCAACTGGGACACTTCTTACTGCGTTACTCACTGTTGACTCACACGTTGTTAGAGGCAGAATATGGCTCAAAGTGTCTGCCAAGACTTTTAAACCTTTCAGTGGACATGTGTTTGCTACTTTAGGACCATGGCTTCCTGTGTGAGTGTGATCTTTCGTTCTCCACTGTCGCAAGGAGATAGGAATCACATTGGGAACCTCGTGACTCTAGGATGCAAAAGGTTCGTAGGAGCCTGGTGAGAACTGCAGAACACGTGGTTGGGCTGGCACTGTCCCGCCCAAGCGATGGCTCAGCAAAGTGCCAGTCTGGTCCTTGTTGGTGAAAGGAACACAGAGACACAGAGTGTGTTGTCAATGCTTTTACCTACTTGAGTTAGCAAAACACTGATGTTTCTAAATGGCAATAGTTCTATTTCACAAATTTCAAAGAACTTGGAGGGTTTCTTCTTTTTAATTCATCAGTACCTGTTTTAGGTTACATTTTAGTAATTCCTTTGCTGACTAAGAATGGTAACAAAGCTTTTTACCTAAAGCAAACTATCTTACAATGTAATTTTTTTTTTCTTCTGAATGGCACATTTTAATAATTAATAAGTGTTATGAATGACGATAATTGAAATATTACATCACTACATACTTAATCCTCATATTTGAGATGGACCCTGGGGAAAGTGTTTACATCTAGACCTAATGGCATAAACACATACTTGCTTTAATTGTCAGAAAATAGTTTCATAATTTCTGTTTTAGTGAGTTTTCAGTTATACACACATTTAGAAACCTTTTTATTTGACTGAAGTTTGTATGTGTGACAGTGCAATTGTCTTGTTGCATGCATTCTCATCCTCTTCAATTTCGTATCATTTCTCTAGGATCTCAGTCTAAAGGATTTTTTCCTTATCATTCTCTGGGCTTAATTTTGCTGTGGAAAATCAAGCTCTGTGCTCTTTTTGTTTCATACCCTGTCATTTAGAATCAGACAACAATAATTCTGGAATCGGAATGTGCTTTCTGTTATCTGGCTGATTTTGATGGATTGTCATGCGTCGGTTTGACTTTGCAGGGGTTGAATACAGCATTAAAATCTTTTCAGCAGTTAACTGAACAAACATGCAATGGAAACTAGAGAGAAAGGTCACCGGCACAGTGTTTGGTGAACAAAGCTTTGCAGGTTTTTTGTGGGTTGGTTGTTGTGTTTTTTTTTTTTAAACTTGAGAAAAGCCTTCAAATAGTGTATTGTAATACAGTTTGCAGATCACTGAATTATGTACTGTACACATGGTTAACGATTTATGGGGCCATGAGTTATTTAATCGGGTAATGCATATGCTTTGTACA